GGCGCACGAAAAACTTTGGCCTAGACGACGTGCTTAGTCCCTACGGGACCATGCTACTGCACTCGGACACGAGCGCTAGATCTCCGAGGCTAGCTTTTGTCGCTCTGAAGGTAGTGAGCCGGCCCTGCAAGCTCAATGTTTGCCCGTTGTAATGACACACGCAGGCAGACCCATTGCTGAGAGGAAGCAGTAACTATTATCATCATTGTCACACACAGCCCGCCCCAGTCGCCGGGTCAGGGCCAGCACTCTCATTACAGTGTAGCGGCTCTCATTGTTGCCAACATTGTCGACATCACGCTGCCAACCTGCCAATAATAACAATCCGGAGTTGGCAACATTGGCGAAACGGCGAGAAATGTGCCGCCGCCGTCTTTTGCCGGGCGACAGTTTCGGAATACGGCTGCGTGCGCTGGAATTAAAACGTCGTTCTGACCGTGGGTCTCTGGCGGGAGAATGGCCAGACTGCGTGGGGCCGCGGTGGGCCGCAGTCCCGGACCGCGGTGGGAAGCGCTACAACACTGCACCCATTCATTCGCATTGCATTCACTCATTCATGCATTCATTCCTTCATCTTTTCTCGGAAACCTTGGCGCCGCTTCGAAGGCCACGGCGTCAGAGGACTTCACTGACTCATTAGATGAGATAGAAAAGACGGTTCCTTCAAGGTAAGCAATAAAAATTCAAGACCGTCTGGTCTCGAAAAGCACGGCGAGCGCTTGAACCTCGTCCGGCGTCCGGCGAAGCGAGGGTCGGAACGGAACTCCCTTGAGTGCTCCTAGTTCCCTTGTTTTGACTTAACCACCCTTGTGCTCCGAAGAGCCGAGTGCAGTGCATGTGAGCGGTAAACACGAGCACGAGCTTCAATGAAACACCAACCCACGTTTCCAGCTAGGGACGGCCCACATGTCCGAAAGCCCACTGCCGAAAAGGCAGCAGCTGCCCAATTAACGCCCTCGCACTGCATAAGCATAAGTAACAGGGCCCCACTTCCGCAGTGCAGGCGTTCCCACCGCGCCGGCCACGCACTCCGAGTGAAATGGACGGTGAGGCTGGCCGGCCTGGCCTGCCCTGCCCGACGGGCTGCCCGACGGGCTGCCCCAGCCACACTGACCCACTGCTTGCGAGGACGTGTGTGTGTGTGTGTGTGTGTGCGTGTGCCTGCGGCCGCTCGATTCTTGTCGAGCAGTTTGCCATGGAGTTCCGTCCTGGCCGGTCTATCTCAGCTGGCCGGCCGGTCGCTCTTTCGCCCTCTCCGTGAGTAGGGCCGCCGCTGCAGCGCACCGCCATGCTCGTGACTCTCTCTCTCTCTCTCTCTCTCTCTCTCTCTCTCTCTCTCTCTCTCTCTCTCTCTCTCTCTCTCTCTCTCTCTCTCCCTCTCTCTCTCTCTCCCTCTCTCTCTGTGCGCTCTCGCTCTCTTTCTCCCTCGCCCAACGCGGTAACGGTTTTTTAAGAGTCTGCCGCGTGATATCTGACAAGTTTTCGTTTACGATTTGCACCGGCCAGCCGCAGAGACGTCGAACCGTCACCACCGGGCGGGCGGGGGTCTTCTTCGGAGCATCGCGTGGTTTCTCGGCTACATAGAAATCTAACCTCACTTTCCTCGCTGTAAAATGACCACGTGGATGAGACACCAATAGCCCCCTCGCCTGAGACTTTTGCCTGGGCAGAAAGCAATACTTTGCTCCTGTGAGCAAGCAAAAAGTGATACCTAGCCCTCCCCTGCCGGGCCGCCGTAGGATCTACCACTGAGGACAGCGGGGGACGTCTGCGGCCACCGCCTCCAACTCGACTGCACACAAATCAGACAAGACCCGACTAACCCTTGGCGCGAAACAAGCAAGCATTCAAATTCGTGGGTGTGGGGCGGTGGCGGCCTGGAGCCTGCCTGGAGCC